ATTATTTTTATTAATTTATTGATAATTTATTTTTAAAATATCAAGATTTAAACTTATAGATAATTATGATAAATTAAATTAAATTAGATAAGAAATTAAAAAAAAAATTTAAGAAAAACTTCTAAAGACAATATAAATTCATGTTTAATATATAAAAATTAATTTATTTTTAAAACATTAAAATTTAAATTCATGAATAATTATGATAAATAAAAACTGAATTAGATAAGAAGTTAAGAAAATTCTTAAAAATATTTTTGTCAAAAAAAAAATTTCTAAAAAGGTCTTATGTTAAATAGAAATTTATATATAATATATAGGGGTTGTTTTTTTATGAAAAAATGTTAACAAAACTTTGTATTTAAGTTTTAGGATAAATAAACTGATACAAAATTATTTTTGTTTAATTAATAATTGAATTTGAATTTAAGATATTAAATACGTGTAAGAAAAAGTTTATCTGTTGTGGTTTTTGTTAATTCAATCATAATGGTATCCCTTAAATAATTTCGTAAAAAAAAAAAATCCATTAATTTTGCACTTAACGAGTCTCAAATAATTTATTAGTCAAGTGTGTCTCTAATAGTAACATAAAGTGGGTCTGTCCAAGACCGATTAGCCTTTAGAGTGATTATGTAAGCATATATTAATCAATTATTGTTAAAGCATAAACAATATTCATGAGGCTCCTCGTACTGTCGTACAGATTATAAAACTACTCGCACCCATAGTGACGGACGGATTGACTATGCGAAAGCAGCCCGAAACTGTCCCCAAGGCTAACGCATTTGAATATTTGACTCAACTCAACTTATTTGACCCAACTATTTTGCTGTGGTGCAGGAGCACTAATTCATGACCCTGCTAGCCAACTATTATGACTCAACTTGGATTAACTTTCTAACTAACAAGAGCTTTTAATTAAAACAAATATATCCAAATCTCAACTTTTAAAAACAAAATTACAAGCATTTATAAAGAAATTAAAGGAGGAAAACAATCAGATAAATTAATTTCAATACAACATAAGTTTTAATCCACTAGAGTCAAGCTAGTAATATCAAGTTAAAGTATTACACATAGTTGTAGATTCTAATCCTAATACTGTTATTATATGTAATTCCGATAAAACAAAACAAAAACTATAATATTAATTCCTCAACAAAAATTAGTCATTAATAAGTTGATAAATATTTTATTTTCCTATAAGTATATATTGAAAATCTTTTCCAAAGCTCCATATAATCAAACCCAGAGGAACATGGACCTATGGGTGATATTTGATTATTTAAGCTTCATTTGTTTACAGTTAGAAAGAATAAATATTTGCCAAGAATTTATCTATCCTGAGCTACATAGCACATTATAACTTGCTACTAATAGGAAAATTAAACACTAGGGGGCTCAGAGGAAAAAAATTATATATGATAGTACAAATGAAAAGATGACCAAAAGAAGCCGTAATTGCTGCTGCTGTCTTCACCAAAACTTTAAACCTCAAACCGCTTGAATTGCACTGTTCTTGCCCCTGTTTAACTCCGAACCACTAACTGGAGTATTTGCATGGAATGCTGACTGCCTTGAGGGCTCTCCTAACAACTTTAAGGATAGTGGGGAAGGCTCTCTATCACGTACCTGTGATTCCCCAATGCTAAGATGAGACATTCCCACTAGTTCGTCAACATTGACAGGTTCCTTGGGAATGACTGGGATTGGCCTGTGGACCTGATGATGGGATGTCTCTCCTCCCTTAACTTCTTCAAAGGAAGCCGCAGTCGATGGCCACATGGGAAATGGAACAGGTAAATAAGCAGGGAAGAATGGAGGAGCCATTGGTGTCAGTCCGTTTGATCCCACCATAGTTTCATTGGTCTCTTCCACATTTTCTTGAGAAGTAGTTTCCATGGGTTCAAATTCTGATTTGAGGGAGAGATTCAATGAAGGTTGTGATTTCCCATTGCTTGGTTGTGAGTTCTCGGAAGGTGGAAGCAGTACTTGTTCTTCTGGCACTGAAGGTGGATCTGAAGACTGACAAAGGATCAAAAGGAAAGAAGCAGTTAGCTAGAGGGGAAAAAGCAGAGGAAAACTACTACTACGTTTACTTGTGACTAAAAAACTCATAGTCAACATCCAGCTACAAAAAGGATGATCCCATTTGCTTTCATTAGCAAATACAGGTTTCTGTGATTGAGTCACAGTAATAGAAAAGTTTATCTAAAGCAAAAACCAATGTCAGGAAGTCCAACACAGTCAAGGTGCCATCATATCATGATATTCAAGCCAAAAACACCGTGGTGTTTTTAAAACACGACATGACATGTTTGTCAACAAGAAACTTGGTGCTCGTGCACAAGCAAGGACGACACCAATTTCCTATTTTATTACACAAGTAGACATAAGGATTTATGCATGATCAATTAGATATGATGAAAGAAAACCAACCACATCTGGAACCATGTCAAAAAGGCTGGAACGTCTCTTTCTCCTGGTAGCATGACTCTGCCGGATAAAATACTTCTGGGCATGACTTGCTACCTGAGTAGGAGTCCTTGATACAACAAAATTACGCGCTATCCCACGCCAGTCTCCTTTGCCCAGCTTCTGGAGACCAATTAGGAACAACCGATGTTCTTCTTCAGTCCATGGAACACCTAAAACAAACAAAAAAAACATTGAATTAAGTAATCCAACCACCAGAGACAAAAGGATACTCAGCCTGTTTAATGAGTCAGCTGTTCTTGAGAAAAAACAATGATCCAATACACGACTATTATTATCCTTGAGAGATTTGTTAAATGCAAAACAGTTGAGAGACTATGACACAAGGAAGCAACAATTCTAGGTTGGGTAATAAGTATGACTTAATGGAATTAAAACCCAGATAGGCAAATATCTTTGTTGCAAGAGTCAAAGTTTTCATGCAATTGATTCCCTAGAAATGGCACCAAATTAAACCATGGCAAACAAAATATCAAACTAATACATCGTATGCCGTGGCTCTGCCAAAAAAATGCTATACACTTGCAACTTAGAATATACAGCAAATAATCAACAAAATTGGGCAGAATAAATATTTGCTAACACATTCCATTAAGTTAAAAACACATTGTCATGTAATTTAATGCATTTACAAGTTTACAACAATTATTAAGAAAGAAATGATGCAGGTAAAATTGGAATTAACAATTTCAGGAAAAAAAAAACAAATATAAATAAATAAGATAACACCAATTGATTGTAAGTTGACATTTGAAAATATCTCGGACAAGCCCTGTATAATTTTTCTAGTAAACTAATAAAGCATTCGAGTATCACCACTTTGAGACGGGGATAAAATCCAGAAGTCATGATTCTGTCTACCTTAAAGCCAAACACAATAATTAATTCCCACACCAACTCTGTATATTAAGGTGTGAGCTAATCATGATTAACATGTACTAGTATCTAATATTTACCGCATTTACAAAAAAAAAAATGAAGAAATATGCAACAGCAATACGCAGAATAGCACTAAAAATTTCCAAGTCCTGTGTAAAAATCCATGCCATGAGCTCCCAAGTGCCCAAATACAGCAATACCATATGATAAAAGAAAATGATTCGCGTTGATCCAAATTAACCATGAAGCAGAGGACATTATGAGAGGCAATTAGACAGCAGGATGAAGTTGTGTAAAAGTAAAATGTGAAAGAGAAAACCAAAATACAGAATACCAAGACAGAAGGCAAAAAGGTTGAAGAGAAAAATAAAAAAAATGGTATTTATGAAGAGCAGGAAATGGTGAACAGAGAGAACCTTTTTTTCTTTGAGCGCGGCGGTTAGCGAAGGTGGAGGCATGGGCGGGGTCATCGGACAAGTAATCGTGCGGCGGGTCGGAGGAGGGAGAGCTTGGATTGGGAGAGGAGGCGAGGGAATGGAGGTGGTTGAGATTTCCCATGCTGGCGCTCTTCTTAATGATTGATCCATCGGTGAGCCTAACGCCGAAGAGCTTGACGCCGCTGCTCCCACGCGACGGGCAGGTGCGGGAGTTGTGCCCGTTGTTGCTGCAGTGAGAGCACCGCCGAGTCATGCCGATCCTCCGCCGCCTGACTCGGTCTAGGGAACCAGATGCAAATGAAAATATGGATGGAATTGGATAGAGAAACAATAGTACATGTGTGTTGTGTTGTCTTGTGTTGTGTTTGTGTTGTGTTGTGTTGTGTGGTTAATTAAAGTAAAACCATAATAAACATGCCGTTGGATAATTCCGCCTTTTTGGAATATCCCCGAGGTTATATCTGGGATTCTAATTTTATCTTAGTGGAACGCGCTCTATCGCTCCTTCCTCCTTTTTTTTCTTTCAATTCTTTTTTTTTATTATTATTATTATCAATATTTAATTTTTATTTTAATTCTATAACTTCTAAACACCTATTTAATACATCTATACTTTCCATTTATATTATCCGTATAAGAGAATTTAAGGTCCTAATTTCTATACATGTCATTGTTTTTCTCCTTCTTCCACCGAGTCCACCACGGCATGACTCGCCCGAGTTCTCCATTCCCAGACATGCCTGAGGAAAAGTTTGGATGGATCAATCAAATAATGCGCCTATATTAATTTTTATATCATTATTTCTTTTCATCTCTTTCTATCATTAATAAAAATAATATATGATGAAATATAGATAGACAAACAAAAGATATTCATGTCAACAATTTATCATTTTATTGTACCACTATATTTTTTATTGAAAAAATAAGAATATTGCAGGCATGGCTGCATGCAGCTGGAATAACTTTATTTATATATAAATATCGCAAGCAATGAGCATTTGGTGAATATATGGATACCTTCCAAGTGTTTGGTTATTAAGCAAAACAAAACAAATGATAAAAAAAAATGTTTTTTCTTGATTCTGTTTTGAAAACAAACACGTTTTTCCTAATATAATGGAGCACGTTAACTTTTTACATACATGATAATTAAATAGTTTTTAAAGATAAATAATAAAAAACTTGAAATTTATAATTAAAAAAAATTGTCCTATTTTTTAATCATTTTTAAATATAAGTTATGCTATGCATGCCTGTAATTTTTTATTACATGAAATTTGACTCATTTATATAATTTTTAAAAAAACATATCTTAAAGTAACTTTTATTAAATATCTTCGAACATAAAAGTTATTTTATATAGTTAATTGTAAAATTAATTAGTAATTTAAATGTTGACTTGTCACAAATAATCTAAACACATATTTACGCTATTTTGTTAATTCATAAAATAATATGTTATCGTATTTTTTATTTTGATTATGAAACAAGTTATGAAAAAGATGGTTATAAGAGTGAAAAGTGAAAACGGATACAAACTTTATGAGTATATATCTATCCCTCCTACATATACTTATCAACTAATTTTAATTAATTTTTATTATATAATTGAATTTTTCAAAATTGTTTATTTTAATAAAACACTAGTGGTATTAGTTATTATGAGACAAGTCAATGATGTTCTACTCTTTTAATAATCATTGAATGATTTTAATAATAAAAAATCACCAAAATGATACTCCTATGTATTCTCGTTACCCATATCCATATATCTTTTAAAATCTGTCATTTTATCTATGGATAAGGATTTCCTTTTTCACAGTCACTATATGTAAGATTAACCAATTATTAATGGATGTTTAGTTTTGATTCATCCGTGACTTTATTATTTACTTTCACGTTATAAATTAAAAATAATAATATCATTTTTTTTAAGAACAATTTTTTAAGCTGTAAAAGAAAGTGCATTTTTTTTAATAAAAGTATTTTTATGATTTTTTTTCCTTTAAAAAATGTTCTTTAGAAGATTTCTTAAATAAGAACATTTTTAATAATTATTATTACTGATTGAACGACGTATCTCATTATACTTTTATTTATTGAATATGTTATTTTATTTATTATTTATTCTTTCAAATATATTTTTAGTTCTAAATCTAATTTTATTTGACAATATTTTAGAAAATTTATTTATTGAGCATCTCAAATCTCTCTAAACTCTAAAATGTTAATTATTATTAAAAAAATTACTCAATTCAATATATTAATAAAAAAGTATAACAATAAAAGAAAAAGTATAAAAATATTTATCAAAACAACATATTAAAATTAAATAAAATAGATGTTCAATTTGTTTTTTAATTCTGTTTTTTTACAGTTGATGAAAAAGTTTTACATTGTAAATTCATTAAATATGAATTTTGAATATTATTATTATGATGATGAAATAATTAAAATATTAGATGATGGTATATAAAAGAAAATTGCGCAATTATCGGGAATGGATGGTAGTGAGTGGTGTGTTTGATTGTAGTGAAGTGATTTAGAGCCTTAGACGTGTTTGGATGAGATTAGAACTCTACAAATACGGACACGTGGAATAGATGCTGGCCCCACCTACTTTACGTCACATTGCTTTATTTCTTCACCTAATCCAAAACGAATATTTCCCTTTTCTCATTACATACCAATTTTAATCAAATTAATTAATTATATTTTTTAATTCGTTAAACACATTTATATTAATTTAAATTAACATATAATCTCTCACGAAAAAATTTAATACATAATATTTTTTATAAATAAACATTAATTTTAATTAATATAATAAATTATCAAATAATTTTTAAACTTTATAAAAATTATACTTAATTTATTTAAATTTAATATACTAGGGTGTTCAAATTGCTAAACTAAACTAAACTAGAAGAAAACTAAACTAAACTATAATAAATAGTTCACTAAACTAAATTGAACTAAAATAAATATTGACTAAACTAAACTAAACTATCATCTAGATTAGTGCACTATAGTTCTAAGAATTTGAACTAAACTATAATATCAATTAAATTAAATTATTATTAATTATAAATTAAATTTATTAATTATAAACTAAATTAAACTACATTAAAAAAATAAATTTAAAATCAATATTTTTAAATTGAGTTACCAAATCATTAATATTAATTATAAATTAAATTTAAAATAATTTGAAATACAAAACAAATATTACATTGACATCAATCCCTTAGCTTTAATGCTAATATGTAATTTATTATTTGCTTTTGGAAAATAATAAAGGCATGTTGTCAGTAATGAGATAGAAATAGAATCAATTGGTAATATTTGCATCCTGTGGGTGTGAGAGCACTGTTACCTACAAAATCTCCTACTCCTTCGTATTAACTGGCTACCATGGCATTTGGTTTCCTTGAATGTACTTCAGTGCTTCAGTCCGAACAGAATACCTTACGTTTCCGCGAGTCCGTACGATGAACGTGGTAGTCTCCGTGAATCAGTGCTTGTATTTGATTTTAGTGAACTGAACTATTAATTTTAATAGTTTAGCTTTATAAACTACACTAAAAGTAATAGTTTGGTTTAAACTATTAAAAAATAATTTAGTTTATTTTAGTTTACTTTAGTTTAATTATTTAAAAAGTTTAGTTTTAAATAGTTTTGTGAACACCCTATAATATACTACTCGGTCTATGAATTTTTTCAAAATTTACGATCAAGTTTCTAAATTAAATGAATTTGTAATTTAATTATTTTTTGTATGTTTTTATAATTTAGTTCATGTGAATAAAAATTCATTTACAATATGTAAAATTTAATAAAATATTTTTAATAATCATGTATTTGAATAATTATATTAAATTATTATTCAATGTTATTATCTATATGTATTAAGAATATTTTATGAAATTTCATGAATTATAAGTGAATGTTTAAGTTTATGGATTATATTACAAAAAAAAATAATAAAAAAATATTAGACTTAATTAAAAATTTCTATAAAAAAATAAAGTACTAAATTATATATTAATTAAGAAAATAATTTAACAATTATATTGTTAAAATATAATATAAACTATAAATTATTGAAAATTAATTGTGAAGTAATTGAATCACTTTTCTTAATGTTTAAAAGGCTTGTTTTATAGATAATTTTTAAAATGTAATAAATTTTGGATAAAAAAAATTTGAATATTAACTAGTGTAAAATAATTTTATAAAACATTTTTAAAACCAAAAAATAAAAAGGAAATCAAACAAATCTTTAGCTTTATTTACTTTTGAAATTATAATACTATTTAATTATAATATATTGATAATAGATTTTAATAGGTATGATTTGCTGGTGTAAAATTTTATAAACTATTAATTAAATAAAATCATGTTTGTATGACTTTGACTTATAAAGTATCATAATTATTATCAAATCTAATAAATATTATATATATATATATATGTGTGTGTTTTTGTGTGAGATTCAAGCACTAATGTATCATGTTTAACTTACTAAGTTAGACTTGTTTGATGTGATTTTGGATTGATGCATCTTACATTTTTGTTTTCTTTATAAAATATCTATGTATTTATCATACATTGTTATTGCATGGTAAAATATATATAAAATAATAATATTATTAATATAAAGTATTTATTAAGAAAATGGATGAATAAATTCCATCAAGAGGGCCAAAAAAGAAAGAGCTTATCCATAATTGATGCAAGAAACCTCTCTTTCCCACAATCAGCATCCGTTGACCAGACTCAACCCATGGGTGACATTCAAGCTCAACTCCGTCAGTGTCTTTGGTGGTTTCACGTGCCACTAGCTTTGCATCATCTGCCATACACATCATAACTTCTTTAAATTCTTCTTCATAAATCTTGAATCTAAATTGATTTAAATTCTCGAAACAATACAATTAAATATTAACCGACAAAGTTTTTATTAAAAATAAATCAAATAAATAATGATAACAATATTTATATAAAGGGATATTAATTATTCTGACTATAATTTATTATATAAATTAAAAATAATTAATTTTAAAATATGTGGTCATTTAAAATTATAACAATAAAATTATTATATTTTATTAAAATTAATATTAATTAAAATTTTAAATTTATAATTATTAAATTAATTATTTTGAATTAAATTTAAATTTAAAATAATTTCATAAATAAATAAATATTTTATAATATTTCAATAAAATAATTTTTTTAACCACGTTATTTTTACGCATAACACTTAAATTTATGATCAAGAAATCGAGTATATTACCATTCAAATCAACAATTTACTTTAAAAAAATGTTAAATATGAAAATAATAATAATAATAATATATTTTCTTTTATTTAATTATAG